TCTTTTACAAAATGATGATGATGATAAATATTTTATAATTTAAAAAATTATAAATTTCATATTTTTGAAATAAAATATTGCCTTTTAAAATTAATCGTTTAAAAATATAAAAATATTAAAATAAACTTTTAATTACAACGGATGGTTCAAATGAATTATTATTCAATAATTTTTTTAAAATATATGAATTTTATAATTTTTTAAATTAAAAATATTTATTATTATAAAAAATAAACTTGTTACACGCTAAAATACTAATAAACTCAACCACTACGCACTGTCCACTTCATTAACTTGTGACAAGACCCAGGGGTGTTTGCACAATTAAAATACTGACGATTTTACACAAATGTCACCATAATAGAAATTAATGACGTATTTGGCATCCGTTTAATAATTTTTATAAAATTAGCACCCGGGTTTTTTACACATTTGGTAAGGAGCGCCTCCGGAGGCGCGCCTTCGACCACGTCGCGTAAAGCGCGGTGCAGGGGGCGCGCCTTCGTACAAAGAGTATTAGATCGAGAAATATAGTCTGAACGGTGCTTAACAGGAAAATATATAGGGTTAGGGTGATATTTCGGGAGAAACACCTTTAAATAAATGAATAATAATGCGGACATATATGGTGAAACTATATTTTATATAATATAATTATAAAATAATATTTTTCTAATATTTAATTTATGATTGATAGTTCATTATCCTAGTGATTAAGTATCTTTCGCACTCTAATTCAAGATTCGAGTCATGACCCTCCAAAAAGAACATTTGATTTATGAGGATCCTTTCATCTTGTTCATCGAAAATAAAACAGCCAAGTTGTAGGGATGTTCAAAATTTCGGTTAATGAAATTTTAAAAGTTTAGTTCGGTCGGTTAATGCGAACCGATCAATTAACACCGCTATCAAGAGGGCAACAATTTTCTTTCGTAATAAACAATGTCGAAAGTAGGGATGGGCATGGGTTAGGTTGGTGGGTTTGTGGTCCACCCGACCCGACCCGAGAATAAGGGACCCTCCACCCGACTCGACCAAAATAAGATTTTATCCAACCCGAACTCCACCCGATATATAACTTAGAATCGACCCGACCCGAAATAATAAAAAATATTTTTATTCAATAATAAAAGTGACTTAATTGAAAAAATATATATAGAGGGGTATTATTGTAATTATTCCTAAATATATAAGATAAAATTATATATTTTTTCAAGTCGGGTATTTTTCACCCTAAACTCGAACCCTAATAGCATACTTAAAAAAACCCGACTCGACCCGAACCCGAATTTTAAATAAAAAATCCGACCCAGTCGAGTCGGAACCGTCGGGTTCGAATCTCATGCCCATCCCTAGTCCAAAGCAGAATTTTGTAAGTTTCAGTCTCAGATAAGCAAAAACACACGAGAGAACAACTTCCATACTTGTGTGGAACAAAGTGTAAAGTGTTTGGAGAGAGGGTAAAAAGATTGAAAATAATGTATCAAGCAAAACCCTAAGGCATGTTGAACAAAATTCGCAATTATATATATACATAAATATAAATATAGATAGAATATTGTTGTTAACCGTAGACTTGATAAATACATAGATTTTTACTACTACTACTACTGCACCAATAACTTAGTTGACAATTATGATACTTGAACAGTATACAGTAACATGAATATGGGGCTAAGAAATCCTCCTATTCCTACACAAGTCCCTTCAAAGATTGGAGAAAAGAAAATTAACCGAACCCGAGAACTTTAAGAAGAACGGCACTCTCTTTTATCACTGAAGTCACTCGATTAACTTGAAAATAATGAAGATTACAACCAAATAGACTGATTTAACAGAGGCAAGCAATTAAAGAAAATGGAAGATGGGAATCATCTGTGCTGTCTGGTAATAGACTAAGTTTGAAGCGTGTAAACATACCATCAGAGGATGATACAGTCTCTTTTACCACTGAGGTATCTCAATTAACTTGAAAATAATGAAGCTTACAACTGAGTAGACTAATTTAGCAGAGGCAACCCATTGAAGAAAATGGAAGATGGGAATCATCTGTGCTGTCTGGTAATAGACCAAGTTTGAAGAGTGTAAACATACCATCAGAGGATGGTCCAGTCCACTGCAAGGTGGTTTGCAAAGCTCAAGCCTTGCAGTTATTCTCACTGATTCTGAATGCAGTAAAGATCAGCGCATTGACACCAAGGTGTGGACTTTGTTTTGCCTTTCTGCTTTCTTGGCACTGGGAGTCCTCTTCAATTTCTGCAGTTCCTCCATTACAGCTTTCCCTACGGTGTCGATGGAGTTCAAGAGTTTCTTTTGAGGTGTAAGAAGGTCCGATTCCTCGCATCCGTATTGGTGACACTAAGCAAAATATTTGACACGTTGCGGACTGATGGAGGGCAGGCTTCTTCAATCTGGCAGTTGGAGTTGGAGTTGAGAAATTGTGCTCCAATTGATCACCTGAGGATACATTTGAATTAACATCCCCTTCATCCTCAGGTATTGTTGGGGTCTCAATTGCCAGGCCTTCTCTTTCTCCTGTCGACCTCTCCTCCTTTCATGGCCTGATTCAATCCTCATCAAATTCAATTGCCATACTCAAACAGACCTAATAAAAAAACCCATTTCAAATTAGAAAGCTTTGCTAGTTTGAGTGACTATTACTACAACAGTAATTAGGGACGAACCGAGAGAAAGCAGGTGGGAGTAGTCACTAGTCACCCTCCTGAATTTCTAGTTTTTGTTCCTAAATTTTATAAGTTCATCCCTCGCCTACGTCATTTGATTACAGCCAAATGGAAATAAAACCAAAACCATGAAAGAAATCAGCAGTTGAATGGACAGTATTTCAAGATTGTATCATCGGCAAAACTAACTAGAGCAACTAAACAAGTCAAAACAAATCAAAGAGTTTCTCTTGAAGTGAACATAAAACTAGCAAGAAAATTTGATTATGTAAAAGCGAGCGTTACCCTCATAACACCAGTAATATCATTGAGAGGAGCTCTTGGGTACCAAGACGGTAAGACACAGCCCGTCTTCGACCCCTCCCACGGCCTGTGCAAGGAGCATTCTCTCTTCCCAAGGCCGGAGTCTGAGATCGGAAAAGACTCCGTCCCAGTCTAATACCAGACCCCAGGGTGCCAAAACCGCTGTCCCTGAGGCGCCCTCCACCGACACCCATCGGACCACGTCGTCGACCAGGGGAGACTAACAGCTCCCTTGATTCATCGAAGAAGATGCCTAAAGTCCCAGATCGAGTTCCATAGAAGACTTGAGCTATATCGACTGCTCTCATGAGTCTATCTCTTGAATCCGCCATTGCTTACGGATTTCAACAATGAAAGAGAAGAGATTGAGGAGTGGATTAGCTTGGGAGAAATGGGAGCTTTGCTCCCAACAAATAATGGTGAATCCTGAGGAAGAAAGGTTTGGCGCGTAGTAGAGAAATGAATTTTTGCAAAATTTTAAAAATGAAAATTGAGCGGTATTGTAGGTTGAGGGAAAAAGAATAAAAAAAAAGGGAAAACTACCCTGATGGTCACTGAAGTTTTACAGTGCTTTGATCATTGAATTTTTCTAAACATACATTACAATCCATAAACTTTTAATTTTCTTTCATTACGGCCACTATCGTTAAAAAAATATGATGCGACGTGTTGAAATTTATTTTGTTTTTCATTTCATTTCCCAAAAAAAATCTTCACTTGTATTTCTTTAAATTGGCCATCGACGTTCCTCCTTTCGTAGTCGTTTGTGTCATTTTTTTGATGGTTTTGTCGGACAAAAGATGTCATCAAACTACTCTTCTTCTTCTTTTCTTTTATTAAGTTCAAACTTATCAAAAAAAAAAATTCTAGTCTCATCAATCCCCAATAAAAATTAAAAGCTAAAATTTTTCGATCAATTATTTTCAATCGTCTTATTAGCTTGAAATTGAATTATGTTAATATTTTGGTCAAACAAATCTTTTCCACCGTTGTGATTGACTAGCAACTATTTCGTTCACAATAAATTCGTCAAGGCCAAGAAAAAAAGTTTTCATTTTTGTTTTTATTGTTGTTAGTATTGATGCTTGTGACTATAGACGATGATCGAATAAGGTTGGTCATGGTGGTCGAACAATGACGATGCATGTGATTCATCTACCAATTTGAAAGCTTAGGGTTTTTTTAGCGCGACACATCAATTTTTTAATAGTAGCTAATAACAGCGATTGTAATGAAAATGAATTAAAAATTTAGCTACTATTAAAGTGAAAGAACCCTAAATTTCAATGACCATCGATGTAGTTTATCATAGAAAGATCGGGTACTAAATCGATTGTTCTAATTCTCTATTCGACTGGTCGAACCGAATTATAGTTTTTTTGTATAACTGTCGATATCTAAGCTATTGATTAACTAATTCGAATTGGATAAACTAAAGTCAGTACAAGGTGATGTATGTTCAAAGATAAACTTTTTATCATTTAATATTGAACGTTCGTATCCTAACATTTTTTATGCTCGAATTCAGTACCTCAAGAAATAACAACAATTTTATTTAATACAAGTCCAAATAATTCTACTTAAAATTATCACAGATGATCCATAAATAAATTGAAATATTATAAAAAGGATAAAAGTAACTAATTATAGTATAGAGAAGAAGTTGTACAGATATTGAAAAGGTTGATAAAACTTAAAAATAAATTGTACTCCATGAAGATGGTGACACTAAAATTGGACGTGCATGCGGCAGCACAAAATTTGTTACGTTAAATAAAATTTGTTAGTATTCCGGCTACCTCTAACCCTAACCCTAATCCTAATCGTCGATTCGCATCCCTCGTTCCCCCGTCGTACCTTTTCGACGTTCTTGGTTTGATCAATAATTATGCCGTGTGAGGCTTAATTTTCTAGTGTATCACGCCGGATCCACACGGTGAATCGAAGGTTTTATCTTTGTGTTTTTATGATCGGGTGGAATTTGTGGGTTCTGAGCGGCGGACTCGTCTCACGATGTCGAACTTATATGGAGATTACAATCAAAAGATCGATTACGTGTTCAAAGTGGTATTGATTGGGGATTCAGCGGTGGGGAAATCTCAGCTGCTTGCTCGTTTCGCCAGGAACGAATTCAATGTGGATTCGAAAGCCACAATCGGTGTTGAATTCCAGACGAAAACCCTCGTCATTGATAACAAGACGGTTAAATCCCAAATTTGGGATACTGCTGGCCAAGAAAGGTACGAGTCTTCCCCCTCCCCCTTCTCTTTCAAATTTTCATTTCTTTTCCTGAGCGAGCTTGCATAGTTCTTAGATTTGATGGAAACAGAGAATTAGAGTCGAAAATCTGAAGAACAGAACCATGCATGTTATGTTATATATCCTTCTTTCTATCCTTGGAATATGTCATGGACCAACTTTTAAAATTTAAAGAGAGACAAATTTATAAAATTACAGGGGAACGAAAACAAATTATCGACAAAAAATATTTTAAAATATACGATAATCTGAAAATTTTAGGGCGGTGACAGCCGCCGCAAGCCCCCGTGGTCTATCCTTAAATATAAGCATAGCTGAAGACAAGATTTTCCTTTTCTGGGTCCTTTTTTTGTGTGTGTTTTGGCACAAGCACATGGATGAATGTATCATGGATTAGTAGGCACATTTTTCCTTACATGGATGTGTATACCATTACATGTTTGCATGCATGCATGCTTGAATTTGATCTTAATCCGGCTGTGTGCATCTCTTGATCGATATATTACTCACTTTGGCTGGGAAATCACTGCCATGAGTGCATGGTACAGATTTTGTAGCTCACTGTTCCGATGACGAATCAGGTACAGGGCCGTGACGAGTGCGTACTATCGAGGAGCAGTAGGAGCAATGTTAGTTTACGACATGACGAAGCGGCAATCGTTCGACAACATGGAGAGGTGGCTGGAGGAATTGAGGGGACATGCTGATACGAACATCGTGATCATGCTTATCGGGAACAAGTGTGACTTGGCGAACCTGAGAGCGGTACCCACGGAAGATGCACAAGAGTTTGCTCAAAGGGAGAGCCTGTTCTTCATGGAGACATCGGCACTGGAATCAACCAACGTCGAGACCGCATTTTTCACGGCTCTAATACAGATATATCGAATAATCAGCAAGAAAACACTCACCGCTAATGATGAGCTAGATCCCAATGGCAATGCTGCTCTCCTTAAGGGAACTAGGATTATTGTCCCCAATCAGGAGATGCAAACACCTAGTAAAAGTGGCTGCTGCGCATGAGCCCAGCAGCCCCATCTGTTTTTCGGCCGAACATTTTGACATGTTAGTTTAGGTTCCATTTTTGTAATTCATAAGTGAGGGAGATTGCCCCAAAACATTCTTTTTGAAACAACAGTCCATTCTACATAACCCAAAGATTACAAAGGGCCCAACAGTCAACTATCCCTGGCCAAATACAAACCCATTTCCATTGGACCCAAATTAAAACCCAAAGCCCGCAAGAGGAGGCCCGTTTGAGATTAGGGTTAATATTTGATGTATTATCAATGAACCATCTCAAAAATATGACTTGACAAAAAATAGTTATTTTATTTATTCCATTATGGTTATTGACTATTTTATACCAAATAAAATAAAAATCTATATAGAAATCATGTTTAAACTCTAATAACAATATTGCCCTCCTCTGTAAGTAGGAAAGGTAAACATGTACAATGTCGTGGATTTCGCACCATATTTGTTCTAATTGGAGCAGAGATGGATATAAGTCTAGTGGGTGGTGAGCGAGCGTGGATGTAAAAATTCATGCTCATCGTGGACTGTGGGTAGATGATAGGTTTAAGACCTTACTCGCCTTACTTCTGTCTGCCCACTAACTACTCACAACGTAATTTTTGGACCATTATGAATTTAAGTATACTTTCAAATATTATTATATAAATCTTAAGATTTTAGAGGACATGACTTGTGATTTAACCAAATGATAGGAGTATGACATTTTAGAATTGAAGATCATCGTTTCTCCTATCTCAAATTAGTGAGTATAGGTGAGTACAGACGAATACATGATGAATGATAGATATCCAATTAGGTAGTGGATGTGGAGATGAATTTAAGAACATATTTGCATGGACATATGTAGATTTAAAAATTTTACCCGTCGAGGAGGTGGGTAGGTGATACGAAAATATTAAATGGGTATGAGAACAAGAGAAGAGGTATCCCTACCTATAACTGACTTCAATGCATTCCATTATTTTATAATGATTTTAGAATATGTGACTTAAAATTTATAGAAAATAAATTTAAACTGAAAAATGAATTGAATGAATACAAAAACTAGATATCAAATAATAAAATTGTCAAAAATATTTAGTTATTTTTTATTTTTAATTGATTCAAAATTTTAAAGTGTTAATTCGAGTTAACTTAAAAAATATTCATTAGTTTTTTAATTGAAAAAGTGTCTAATTAATTTAAATAATTCGCACGAATCAAGTGACTTCGGTGATAAAAAATACTATTATTCCTTAAGGTATTAGATTTGAGCATCGAAATTATTAGGAATTTAAGCGTTAAATATTAAATAATTGTGAGTTGTATCTTAATATATATTTTATTGCATTTACTCGGATTAAAAAAAGTTAAATAACTCAAAATTGAAATTTTAATTTTTTTTTTTAGATTTGTTCATTAAATATCTTGGCCACCACTGCCTAGTCAGTACTCAGTAGATCCAATCCCAAAAGAAATGGATGCTTCTCCATTACCCCTCCTAACACTGATCCCTTTCCTACTCCTCCTCCCCGACATCATCCGATCTCATACTCCCACCGTCTCCGTCAGAGACTTCGGAGCCACCGGAGACGGCAAACACTACGACACATCCGCCATCCAGTCCGCCATCGACAGCTGCCACACTAAACAATGCTACGTAACCTTCCCAAACGGCACCTATCTAACAGCCACCATCCACCTCAAGTCCAACGTGATACTAGACATCCCCAAAGGCTCCACCATCTTGGGCGGAACTAAATTGGAGGACTACCCCAAGGAATCCCGCAGATGGTTTGTGATTTTAGCTGAGAAGGCAAGCGATGTGGGGATAACGGGGGGAGGGGTCGTGGATGGGCAGGGGTCGGAGTTCGTGGTGAAGTTCGATGAAAGGAAAAACGTGATGGTGAGCTGGAATCACACCGGAGCTTGCTCCGGCGACGAGTGTCGGCCGAGGCTGGTGGGTTTTCTCGACTCTACCAATGTCAGAGTTTGGAATGTTACCTTCACGCAACCTGCTTATTGGTGGTCAGTTTCTGCCTCTTTCTGGATTTGCTTTCCTTTTACTGAACTTTCTGTTTTTCTAATAGTAGTATATTTTGCATTATATCTATATTATTTATCCAAATTAATCTACTCCTAACTTGATGGATAATAGACAATTAAACAAATTTAAATTTACATCTTTTAAATATTATAATAACTCAATCATTCCCTTACAATTAAGATTTAGATCTGTCATATTATATATATTAAGAACAAAGGCAAAGAGTATCCCTTTAATAAATGCAGATAAGTTTGTACCCACCAAACAATCTGGATGGTATAAGATTTGTTGTTATTCATTGAGGTTCCGAGTTTAAGCATAAGAAATGTTTGAGATGTGAGAGTTATTTTCTGCCAAAGATTTTCCATGTCCTTTTCTCCTTTGTAATATTGTGGCTGGTCATAATGAATCACTTCTTTGTCCATGTTCTTTTCTCACAAAGATTTTCCATGTGAATTTTTTTTTGTTGCCCTCCTCGTTTTCAAGGCTTCGCCTTGGCTAATCCATATCACACACTTAGTTTTGACAGGTGAGTCTCTCACCGGGAATTTTCTGCATGCACAAGGTTTAAAACTCGAAACCTACTTAAACAATATCAAATTGCTTACTACTTGAACCAACCCGTTTGTACCATGTGAATTTATGTATTAGTTTGTTTCAATCTTTTTTTATTTGCAATTTGATTACTTGTCATTATCATCTATAGTTACTTACCTACAACAATAATAATAAACTTCACTTTGGACTCTCCAAACGCTCGAAGTTTCAAGTTTGTCGGATGACTCTTTAATTTTCTGTTATAATCTGCACCCTTGAATTGTTTTTTCTTGAAAATATTGATAATTCGTATAATATTTAATTTGAGTATCTGATTTTTTATTGTATCTTCTAAACGCACACATTGCCAAATCTAGAAAACAGACCCCAATCAGGGAAGAAGAACAGCTAATGATGCTGTTTTCATGTTTAGAATGATCTTCCATTCCAAAAGAAAAAACAATCATCGAAACCCGAAAGCGTTGTTCCGTGTATTCTGATGAACACTTTGGATAAATGCAGCTTGAACATTTTTCGATGTCGAAACACATCGATTCATGATGTTTCGATCTATGGAGATTTCAATACACCTAACAATGATGGGATTGACATTGAGGATTCAAATGATACTGTGATTACCAGATGCCACATTGATACAGGAGATGATGCTATATGCCCCAAGACATACAGTTCCCCTATGTATAACTTGACTGCAACGGACTCCTGGATTCGAACAAAATCTTCCGCGATTAAACTCGGAAGCGCTAGCTGGTTTGACTTCAAGAACTTGGTCTTTGACAACATAACGATCGTAGATTCTCATAGAGGGCTCGGGTTTCAGATACGCGATGGAGGTAGCGTTATCCTGTTTTCCTTGTGCTCTTTTTTGTTCTTCTTTGGTCGATGATGTTATCTGGTTTTTGGTTATCTCGTGCAGGAAATGTAAGCGATGTTACTTTCTCAAACATAAACATCAGCACAAGATATTACGATCCGTCATGGTGGGGAAGGGCCGAGCCTATCTATGTCACCACCTGTCCACGACACTTGAATTCAAAAGAGGGTTCAATCTCGAACTTGAACTTCGTGAACATCACAGTAAATTCCGAAAACGGTATCTTCTTATCAGGTTCCAAAGGTGGATTGCTAAGGAATTTGAGATTCATAAACATGAACCTGACTTACAGACGATGGACACGTTACGAAGGAGGATCGATTGACTACAGGCCAGGTTGTCAGGGACTTGTGAACCACAACATAGCCGGAATCATCATGGAACATATTGATGGTCTGGATGTTGAGAATGTAAACATGAGATGGATCGATGGACGAACCGAGGAATGGGATAATCCTTTGGAGTTCAGGCCCTCAACCGTGAATAACATTTCGTTGCTCAACTTTCGATCTGGTTTTTATCCAGAGAAGGGATATTTCGACTCAAAATAAGATGTTGAATTCATCATTTTTTTACACGAAATGAATGCGTAGACACTACCTTTTATCAGCTATAAGCAATTTGAAAGAAATTATCACTATTATTCATAGGGATATGATGCAACAGAGTGTTTGACGAGTTGTTTGTGAACCTTTATTACATATACATTGGTTTATTAAACTTAACAAATGAGTATGTGCAAATTTTTCATCTTCATTTAACAAGCGAATGATCATGAATGATGATATGTTCAGTTCGTTTTTGTTCACGAACAAGTTCATTCTTCGACTTGTTTATAAGCTTTTTTACTTGGTTCTTTTTTACTTTAATTTTTTTATATTTTAAATATTGGTGGAGATAAAAACTAAATTGAACATAGAGTGAACTTTAGTGTTTAAATTATGAATCCTATGAAACTTAAGGAGTAGTGATTAAACGAACGTTAAATAAACGTTAAACAAATTTGTTATTGAATGTTAAATTAACATATTCACGAGTGTTAAACGAATATGTTTACGAACGCTGACGAACGAACATAAACATTTTTTTAAAAAAATAAGCAAATACTAACTCAACACTGAAAATTTAAACGAACATAAACCGAATAAATATATCTTCAAAAATAAACAAAGGGACGCGAACAAACTTCATTCGTTCGTACTTCATTCATTTACCTCCCTAAATTTATTCCACCGTTCAGAAGGGGAATCTCAAAATTCATTTAAAAAGTATTCTATGAAGTTTTAATATATATTGAAGATGAGAAATTTTAACCTGAAATAAAAATGAAGTTGCTTGAGAAAATGAAGTGCCTTTTCCATTATTACCCCAAAAAGGCATCATTTTCATCTTTCTTCAACTCTTTTACCACTCACCAGCTACCTCTCACTACCTTCCCTCTAGACCCACAGATTCTTTTGACTACCTTATGCTCCAATGGTCAGCTGAAAGAAGCTTTGATGGAAATGGCGGTTCAAGGCCTTGAAATGAAGTTTGAAGGCTACGATATGGTATTAAACGCTTGTATAAAGAGAAAGGCATTTAGAGAGGGCCAAAGGGTCCATGCCCATATGATCAAAACACGATATTTACCGCCTGTTTACTTCAGAACCCGGCTGATCGCTTCTTTTTTTTTATAGTAAATGTGATCGTTTGAGGGAGGCAAGGAATGTGCTCGATGAAATGCCTGAGAGGAATGTGGTTTTTTGGACTGCCATGATTTGTGCTTATTCTCAAAGAGGGTTTGCCTCTCAAGCGTTGGATCTTTTTGTACAGATGTTAAGATCAGGTATTTATAGTTAACACGTTTATCTACAATATGTTGCTAATTTTTTTTTTTAGCAAATGATCCCTGGTCTCACTCTCCCTCGAACAAAAACCACACTCACCCTCAATGGTCAAACCAAAAGAAATAAACCTACTCCTAGTAGGTAACCTGTCTAAAATAGCCATCCACGAGATAAGAGCATTCTTGGGGATGAGCCCCGGATGCCAAACTAACCTCTCCCAATGAACCTTCGCTCTCTTACACCGAACCTCTTGCCATAACAATGCCACTGACCCTAAAGACAAAAACCCCTGGATCAAAGCAGCTTTACCCCGAAATTGCAAAACAACCCTCCAAGTCCAACTGCTGTTATGAGTACAAACAATATCCCAAAAGGAGTTATCTTTGATAATATAGGAATGCAACCAAGTAACCCAGAGAGAGTCATCCTTTAACAAAATCTTCCTAATTAGGAGCAGAAAATAGGCCTGGTTCCACCCCTTGATATCCTTGAGCCTAAGTCCACCCTTAGACTTAAGAGAACAGATAGTATTCCATTTCACTCTAGCCCCTTTCACAGGCTTGTCCTCCCCCTTCCAGAAAACAAAGCTGATTGATCCGATCAATAACAGTGCTTGGGAGAGCTAATTGGCAAGTCCAAAAATTCTGGATCCCATACACCACAGACTGAATAAGCTGTAGTCTGCCCGCATAAGAAAGGGTCCTTGTCTTCCACCCCTGCAACCTAGCTGCAACAGAATCAATAAGGGGAGCACAATCTTTTACTGATAACCTCTTAGCGATCAAAGGGACCCCGAGGTACCTCACAGGTAGCTTCCCGCGACCAATGCCAATAACGACAGTGATCTCAAACAACACCGCCTCACTGACTCCAGAAGTTAATTTGCAGGCCTGAGAAGCCATAAAATAGTTTCAAAACTTCCCAAACTCCCACAACCGAATCCACAGTTCCCTTGGAAAAAACCAAGAGATCGTTAGCAAAACAAAGATTAGTGAGACCAGTCCTATGACACTTAGGATGGAAACGAAACACCCCTTACCCCGCAACCTTGTCCAGAAGCCGAGAGAGAAAATTCATGACGATAACAAACAGATAAGGGGATAAGGGGTGTCCCTGACGAACCCCTTTAGCCCCATTAAAAACCCCCCACCATACTCCCATTAAGAGAAATGGAGAACTTGGGAGTGGTAACACACTCCTTAATCCAACCAATCATCATCCTAGGCATCTCCAAGGCTTCCAAGATGGTCAACAAAAATTGCCAATTCACAGAGTCAAATGCCTTCTGTAAATCAAGCTTAAGAGCACAACGGGGAGAAAGAGAACATCTACTATAGCTGTGAACCAACTCTTAAGCCATGAGAGTGTTGTTAATAATCGACCTCCCCGGGATGAAAGCACTTTGGCTCCTAGAGATAACCTGAGGAAGAAAACCTTTAAGCCTATTAATAATGATACGGGTAATGAATGGAAACGATGAGCATGCAAGCCATGGCTGTGCAAATGCAAGATACGAACTCCTTCGTGTGATATAGTCCGGTTGAGCGTTTACGTTCGTTCGTGTTTGTACATCTCTCAAGTTTTGTAGCCATGGAAAAGTGAATGTAAAGGTGAGGAAATATAAGGTGAACATTTTTAGATGGTTCAAAGTTTTAGGAATTTTCAAACATGGTTTAATGGCTTGAATGTATGGTGGGAAGAACTTGCTTTGATTTTGTAGCAGAATGTCATACTTAATTGTTAATGTCATCATTGTGATCGAAATAAAATAACCCAGATGTTTTGATGTCATTTTCTTAAAATATAACAATAAAGATAGCGATCGTATAATAAAATAGACATCAAAATCTTACATGAAAAACCCTTTCAAAAAATCCACACGTTAAAGATGAATTTTTTTTATTAATATCGAGAATAGAAGAATACACGAGAATTTACGTAACTGACTTGATTTTTTTATTTGAATTAATCACTGTTATCTGATCTATTTACTGACTAATCCATATCAGGTACTACAAAGGTGAGGGTGACCCTCCCAACCAGTTTGCTATTTTCACAAACGTCATGATTCGAACCCCTGACCTTGCTTAAGAGACTTAATACCTCATCCCACTAAATCAACTAGTTGTTGGTCTTTAATCATAATCCCTACTATCTATTTATAAGGTAATTACTTAGATTATAAATAAAACTTAATAAAAATATATTCAAACTATATATTATGCATTTAATCAATATGAAAGTAAATATATTTCTTATTTTACTATTTTTATTTTAATTTAATATCTTTATTAATTTTAATTAAATCAAATTCAAATTACACAGTAATAAAAATTGAGTAAATTACACATGTAATAATGAGTAAATTAGTGAGACCACGTGCGGCTTTATGCAAAAGAAAAATTAAATACTTTAAAGTAAATACTCCTATGTAATAATGAGTAAATTATCTATTTGGTCACCCACCTATTACTTAATTTTTGTTTTAGTCATCTAATTATTTTTTTTTTCAAAATTACACATGATGTTATATTTTAGTTATGCTTCGATTATCTTCTGTTAAAAAACTAACAATGATGTTGATGTGATATTTTTTTAATTATTTTTCAGTGCTGACATGGTATTACATTATGGTCGCACATTAGCATCATCGTTAATTTTTGACTTAATGAAAAAAAAGGTATTCAAACTGTATCATTTTCTAAATTCAAGTGATTAAAGTATTTTTTCGCTTAAAATGGGTGTCTAACATTTTCAGCGTTACTATTTTAAGTGACTGGTCCATCACGACCATTAAAAAATAGTTATATGACACATGTAGTGTTTATATTCTTTTCTTAATTTTTTATTAAAAACTTAAAATAACTCAAAAATAAATTTTGAGTTATTATTATTAAAATAAATACAAAAATTAAAATCTAAAAAATTAACTTTTTAATTCTAAACCCTAAATAATTTTTTAAAATATTCTTTGTTCATCCCTACTCCAAGCAATAAACTATAATAGTTTTAATAATTGAATACATTATTTACAATTTAAAATTTAAAAGTTATCATAATAAAGTCTTAGTTAAAATATAATTTTAATTTTATAAAATAAAATATTCAAGGTTTGTTTCTTGGTTTATAAAAATGACTTATTTAAGTAGTATCTATGTACATTTTAATATAAATAACAAAAATAGTTTACTATAATGAGATATAATTATTATTATAATATCTAATAAGTTCACTCATACTCTAACATTACATCCTCAAATTTTAAAAAATAAGTTAAAATAATTTAAATATTATAATCTAACATATTTCTTGACACTACAATGTCATTTTAAGTCTCTAATTTAACATATTTCTCTCTCTCTTTTTCATTCTTTATAACTTGTGTCAATTTTATTGATTAATCCAACTTCTTCTTCTTTAATTTTATTTAACTGACGACGGCATCGATTTTGATGTTGGTCGTCCTCTGGTTATTTTTTTTTCTTTATTTTTTTTAGTTTTTTAATAAAAATAATTATGTCTTTGTGACATGTTCTCTGTCCTTATGACACGTTTATCTCTGTCTTTGTGGCACGTTTTTCTCTGCCTTTTGGTAGCTTATCATTTTTTACCATTTTTTTCGTTTATCTTTTTTCACAAAGTTGGATTTGACATCGCCACGATTGATCAAGATGACACGAATTGATTGGATACGCGTTTTCCGCTCGTGGATAGTTTTCTCACGTCGCTTGACTCTGATTTGTGATTTTTCGGTGGTCTTTTAGTCTTCATCCCCTTTTGTGATTCGTTTGCCGATACAGTCAAATTTGTTTGT